CAAACCTGAATGAAAGAGACATTAAGACACAGAAGCAGCCCAGGCACGGTGGCTCACACCTGTAATCTTAGCACTCTGAGAGGCTGAGGCAGGTGGATCGCTTGAGCTCAGGAGTTCAAGACCAGCCTGAGGAAAAAGCGAGACCCCCAACTCTACTAAAAATAGAAAAACTGAGGCAAGAGGATGGCCTGAGCCTGAGCTGGAGGTTGCTATTAGCTATGACATCACAGCACTCTATCCAGGGCATCAGCTTGAGTCTCTGTCTCAAATAAAGAAAAAAACACAGAAGCACCTAGAAGAATAACTGGCACACAAATGAATTCACGAAGCCAGTGTTAAAAAAGAGGCACTAAAAATGGGCCAGTGGCTCACACCTGTAATCCCTGCACTCCGGGAGGATTACAGGCAGATCCCTTAAACTCAGGAGTTCAAGACCAGCCTGAGCAAGAGCAAGAGACCTGTCTCTACTAAAAATAGAAAAAAATTGCCGGGCATTGTAGCAGGCTCCTTTAGTGCCAGCTACTTGGAAGGCTGAGGCAGGAGGATCCCTTATATCCAGGAGTTTGAGGTTGCTGTGATCTAGGCTGATGCCACAGCACTCTAGCTTGGGCAACAAAGTAAGACTGTCTAAAAAGAAAAAAAAAAAAGGAGGCACTAAATGTGATAAACAGGTTTTCACCTCCCTCAAACCTTCTGCACATTACTCTCTGATGAGAAAGAAAGAGAAAAAAAGGTACAGGCCTTTGAGGCATTTTTATTCAGTGAGAAAGATACAAAGCCTGGTTGGGATGAGAGGGTGGAGTTAACTCAGCTATAAATTTCAGAAGGGAACAAACTTGTTTGGCCAAGTGGCCTTCCTCCCTCTTCATAGGCCTCCCACCACTAACCTTTTGAATCCCCGTAGGTGTTATTTCAGAGTAGTGACAGATTCTTCCAAACAAACACAGGAGTGCCACCTCACTAAACACCCCTACCCTCCTCACCCCGAGTTGGTCAGCTGGGTAAGCAGCTATCTCCCTGGAGCTTCCAGAGCTCACTCTTCCATTTATTAACTTCGCTGACTAAGGAAAAACAAAAAACAAGACACTTGAGGACCCGAGCCCCAAAGAGTTAGGTCCTTGTTAATCAAGCTAAGGCTCCGATGTCCCTCAGAGAGGGAAATACTCTCTGCCTGGGAACTATTTTTCTCAGATGAGGAAAGGTGAGGTGGGAAAAGCGAAGAGGATAAGAAAAGGCATAAAACTTAGAGAAAACATAACCCGCTGTAGGCTTTAAGCTGGGGTCTGTACCTGGGGCTCAAGTTACTCCTGTCTGCTTAGGTAGGTGCTCATTGCTCCTATCTTATGAGGCCCCGTAAGCCTCAGGCCCAGAAGCCTATAAGGACCCGTGGGAGTCCCTCCTTGCCTCTCTGTTTTTTCTGAGCTGGCCAGCAACATTGCCTGTGCCTAAAAGCTTTCATTTTATTTTTATCTTTTGAGACAGAGCCTCAAGCTGTTGCCCTGGATAGAGTGTCGTGGCATCACAGCTCATAGCAACCTACAGCTTCTGGGCTTAAGCGATTCTCTTGCCTCAGCCTCCCAAGTAGCTGAGACTACAGGTGCCTGCCACAATGCCTATTTTTTGGTTGTAGCCAGGCCTGGGCTGGATTTGAACCCGCTAGCTCTGGTGTATGTGGCTGGCGCCTTAGCTGCTTGAGCTACAGGTGCCGAGCCCCTAAATGCTTTTATATAGAAGTAAATGAACCTTAAAAAAAAATCTGGGTGGTGCCTGTGGCTCAGAAGGGTAGGGAGCCGGCCCCATATACCAGAGATGGTGGGTTCAAACCCAGCCCTGGCCAAAAACTGAAAGAAAAAAAAAAATCTACAGACTCAGCACCCATAGCTCAGTGAGTAGGGCGCTGGTCACATATACCAATGCTGGCAGGTTTGAGCCTGGCCAGGGCCTGCTAAACAATGACAAATGCAACCAAAAAATAGCCAGACATGGCTTGGTGCCTGTAGCTTAACCAGCTAAGGCATCAGCCACATACACCTAAGGTGGCAGGTTCGAATCCAGCCTGGACCTGCCAAACAACAATGATGGCTGCAACCAAAAAATAGCC